TGCCGCCCCGCTTGCCGCCAACCTCGAGCGCAAAATCGTCAGGGAATCCAGCTCCGGGACGCTCGATGCGACAAGACTTCCCGCGAATAGCAATCAGCAACGTTTTCGCCAGCTGCGGGTGCACGCCCCTTGCCGAGCAGAGACTGCGGCATATTGTCGCGACCTATGGCGTCGAAGGCAATGGCGATGTCCGAGGAGCCGAGGACAAGAGGCCGGCCCAACCTGTAGGCAATAAGGAGCGTTTGCCGCACGACGGAGGCGACGTCACCGCATCGGTGCCCAGGGCGGAAGCCCAAAGTTTCCACGAAGCATGGGTCTAGAGATTTTCCTGGAGGACTTTGTAAACAACGACTGTACCATTTCCAACGACAATCCTATTTGCAAATCCACCGGTAAGACGAAAGCGACTTGCTCGAAGCTTCCTTGGGGAGACCCGCGAACTCCAGAGTATCGCAAGCGGCGGGCGTCGCCGCAACGTCGCCGCCGTATCTGGCCTGGAACTGCTCCCAGAAATCGCGGAGTAATGCGTACGGTGCACCTTTGCATACTTCGGGTGGAACTCCGTCTGCTCCTGCTGCCGCATTGTTGCGCGGAGCTGCGCGTGCAGAAAGTACCGAGACCTGTGTCAAAGGAGGCGGCTGAATTCCATCAAGACGTAAGCCTCGCACGCAGCCCTCTAGACGGTGTAGACGCTCACGCTGCACGGCCAATGAATTATTGTCTGCGCATCCGAATCGGGCGCAACCGAACTTCCAAGCCTCGCGCAATCGCTCTTGCCTGTCCGTGAAGTCCACGCCGTCCACCTGGAGGGTATGGGTATGGTGTGTCCGTGAAGATTCCGGTCACCTGCTCACTGCTAGGAGTCTGCTATGATGTTGATTTCAAAGGTGGTAGCGTTTTGCACGCCTCAGGGCCAAAACATATGTTCGTCGGTCATCGGCGGGTGCTTGGCCGACGGCGGTTTTAGCAGCCTTAAGCGTTGCATGTCGGATCGACATATAATTCGTTTTCTTCTGAACCCGGGTGTCGAAACTAATCTCGCGAGCGGGAGCAACACCACTTTGCAAAGATACCAAATCGGAGCATCGGAAGTTGAGGCAATTGCGCTGGAAGCTCTCCAAATCTGTGGGTGCACGCGGCGTCCAACTTGTCATGCGCCTCTGACACGCATGTGTAATATAAAGCAACACCTGTGATCTGATCGTGAAAACACCTCATGTCGCATCGATCGGGCCCTCGACGTACCGACAACGCCGCGAGACACGAAGGGGAAATCGATGTGCGACCTCGTGGACTTGTCGGTACCAGCCATGCGGGTCCAGAGGCGGCCTTCGGAGAGAGGTTCACCATTGGGCTGGTCGTTGAAAGTGCTCGTGCCACGGAGACCCGTAGAATCGATCCAAGACAAAACAACACGACTCTTCGCAGGCCCATGGCTCGACTCGGGCTGCAAAACAGATTTGCCAGTAACGCCTTCCAAATTTGCTGGCAGGCTGATGTTCACATCAACTCCTACAAATATGTGGAACTGTACTGTGGAACACTTCTCGCGAATGCCAGGCACGTAATGAATGTTTTCCTGGAACACCACACCACCCCGTCCTCCTTCCGCAATGTGGTGTAAGATGTGGGCGGGCAGGAAGGTACAGCTACCAAGTACGACCCCACACTAAAAGTTCCCAAAGCTAATATCTCTCACGGCGTGCATCCAGAGTCTAAGAATAAGAAAGTCGCGCTCACTCCCATCGTTGGTAACAACGGTATGGCCGCAGTATGAATAGCCGTCTAGACATCCCCAGGATGGAACTTTTTGTAATAATACCACAGACTCCCCAAACTGCGATCCAACCTGACGGCAGATCTTCCATACAGCATTGTGGTTTTTCTTGCAAGAGTTCCAAGATGTTGCAGAGAATTCGGTGACGGGCGGCTGTTGCCGCTCTCATTGCTGCCGGAAGGCCGCATACTCCGTCTTGATTGCCTCCACCGTCATCCCGAACGCGATGTGAACCCCCGCCGCGTCCCATGCGATGGTGGCGTCATTGCGGCTGGTGCCAACCACGGCGTCGCCGATGCCGCCAGCAACCTTCAGCTTCCACTCCGGTGCCATCAACACATAGCGGCGTCGGACTGGCTGATGCCCTTCGCCTTCGCGTTGAAGAACGCCCTCGTTCTCCCACCCGTGTTGTACAGTTTCTGTTCCTCAGGCTCACGCACGGGCGTGGTGTACAGTGCGTTATTGAAGTTGAGGTTGGACTCCTCGGCGAGGACCTCTTTGAAGATCAAGCCTACCTCCACCGCGGCTAGGGGGCGATGTGCACACGGATCTTGTTGCCCTTGGACCCGAAAATCTCGAAACCGCCGATTTTGCTCTTCAGGGAGGCTGGAAAATGTTCCGACAATGTGCTCACGAGTTCCTCAGCCCGTGCAAGGTCGATCCCCTTGGTCTTCCGCTCCGAGAATTCGCATACATGTTTGATTCCGATGTAAGCGGGGATGAACTTGTTGCTGATAAACCTCCCGCTGGAGACGTTAGAAGATGTGCCCACCGAGCTTCCCCCTTCGATCTTGGCTT